AGGACAGGAGCTGCGAGACGCACGAGTAAAGCGCAACTTGTCTTTGGCTGCTGCCCACCCAGAGCTTTTTACTCAGCAACAAGCTCAAGAGCAGTGCCGCTCAGTGCGCTCAGCCTGAAGAGGACAGAGGATGCTAAACAACATGACGGACTGCGAGGAGGGAGAGGGGGGACCCAACAGCCAGGGTGAGTGACGAAACCTGCTGCCGAGTGATGAGAAGGGAGTGTGTATGTGTGTGTGAGTGCGTGGACCTCGGTGCATCAGTCTCAGCGTGGGTGCTGGAAGGGAACGCGCACGTGTCAGTTAATGAAAGTTAGAGAAACAAAATGATGTCAATGCAGAAACGCATAAATCGGAGTCATTTGTTGCATTTGTATGAGACCTTTCAGATAGTAACTGTAATCTGAATAGGACTAAATTAAGTCCAAGTGGAGGTGTCTGAGATCAGTCTGCTACACCTTCACTTTGCTCTGATGCGTTTCACCTCCTGAATTTCATATGTAAACCTTCATCTGCTTAAATAGTTCAGAAATTTGCTTCTTTTTAGCTGATTGGCTGCTGCTTTTCGAAAAAAATAAAAAGGCTGGTTTAGTCAGAAGCTCAGTGATATATGTGACTCAAATGTGGTCCAATTCATCCTGCAACTGTAGATATATACAAAAGGTTCTACAAAAAATAAATGTTCCCAGAAGACTTGAGTGCAGCCAGAAAAAACAGCCTTTCTTTTCCCATCAGGAACATCTTACCCAGGGGGCAATGTCAGCCTTTCATAAGCTTGCAAGTGTATGTCTCTGAGTGTTTAAATGGTTAAATGCAGACTGGGTTTTTATTTTAACATTTTCTATTTGCTGAAATGATTCATTTCCTTTTTTAAAAAAAAAATGTTACCGGTACAAACACTACAAGAATGCTGACCACTGGTCACAGTTGGTATTTTTCCCCATTTTTGGACATTAATTATTCATGGCAATAATTTTAAGTTGCAGCCTTGGTTGTAACAATTTTTTCCCACTGTGTTTGTGTTCACGTGTGCACCGTCATCAGGGAGCCATCCACCAATTATGTATTAAATTATCTTTTTAATTATGTGAGGGTTTTTTAAATATTTGACAATATGTTAAGTCTGTATCTGCGCCATTTGAGTTTCAGTCATTTAGACCTAAATTATCTTAGTGTGTTTTGATTATTTCCTTTAAATATGACACCTGTCATTTATACAGAGCAATATCACTGTGGCTCCTTATTTTGATGAATTCTGTTAATTTAACTTGGTATGGCCCTATTCAGAGTCTTTGTCTTAAATATACTTGTTCTTTTAAAAGTCACATAATGGGTTTTGTTAAACGATTATAGACAACAACCCTGATGTGTAATAGGAAGAAAATAACCCACATGAGGATTTCATTCTGATTTATACATCTGGGCTGATTTGGCACTCCACTCAAGGCCTGTTGCTTCAAAAGATTAGGGGAGAAAATTGGATTACAAGAACAGTTTATTTCTATTCTCTATACACTATGACTGAGTGTAAACTCAGTTTGTTTCTCCATTTTCTAAGAGCTGAGCATCAAGATAATCTCTAAGCCATATTCACTGGCTACATGTTTTATACAAATACTATTATGTGTGTTTTTCGATACCTGGGAAGATATTTATGATGAGATTTGAGATTAATCTTAATTTTTTCCACACAATTAGAGGTGAACACAACAACAAGTGGGGGGAAATGATTTTTTGTTTTCAAATTAAAAAATATATATCATAGCTGTCATATTCTTCATTGGAAAAATAACTTTAAAAAAAACCTTTACATCGAAAACTGCTTCACACAAAAAATGGCTTTAGTTTTCAAAGATCTGTGTGCACTGTCCAAAGTTACTTTCATCTGTTTTAATCTGTATTCATTCATCATTCACTGTTTAAAAGCAAAGGCTTATATCAGCATTCCACCC